AATATCTCAACTGCAGAGTTGACCCACATTCCCCCTTGTCAAGGGCAAATTTAACCATACCACACCCGCTGCGCCCCCAGATGAACGCGAGTTGTGAGGTTTACACCACGAATGCCCACCCATTTTTGGACACCTAGCGCACACACCATCAAAACCGCAGTAATTGCAATGCTAGATAATGCACCGCTGGTAGCTGCACAAAGAGCTAGCAGTATTCTTGCTTCAAGGTCGTTAACCGGCATCTGTATATTTTACAGAACCACCTCAGGCGCTCTTGGGCAATGGCGAGTACCAAGTTGGTTTTAGGTGATAGCACTACTAGAATGAATCAAATACCTGGCAGTGTAATTCGACTCTTTGCCGTCATATCCTATGCGATTGATACATCGTGAAGCGTGTTAACAAGAGCCATAATGATTGAGGCTAAGACAGGGAGGAAAATGTTATCTGGAGGCATGCAGTGATAGAACGCAATCTCATACCACGAGTACTATGTTTTTTCAAGGGCGCCACCATCACACCCAAACGAAGTGGAGCCACCCAAGGGCAGATGAAAGGTAGGCGTGTGTGCCAGACGAGACGCATGTTGATTGGCTGAACAGAGCCACGCATTTGAAATGCTTGCGTCAGCAGTCGTCGCATTCAGATGTCAAAGAGTATGATTAGGGAGGCACCATCTAGCATTCGCAAGAAATGGCAGCATTTAATTTGGAGTGGAGGCAACAAAAATTGGGTACGGAATACCACAACGGGACTTAGAATGGTGGACATGGAGATATGAAACACAAAGTAGACAGATTTGCAAAAAACACGAAGTCACTAAACTCGAGGATTCGTAGTTTTAATATGATTGTCTAGACCTGACCCATCAGGAATTGATAGTCTTTGTGGCTGCGCAAACAAGCATTCAGTAAAGCCTTCTTGCAGCCACTTTTCTACTCATTGAGCCTTCTACATCCATCTCAATGCGCTGCTTTGATCATTCGTTCATTAATGACTTGGTTTATAACTACAAGGATCCCAAAATGCACTCCAGTGGTCATCCCACTTCACACTTTTCTGTATGAACACCTCAGGATGTTCAATAACGTGCCTTGTCACAACGTTGTAGTGTGGCCCTCTCTATCCTTAACGACCTTTTCTCTACATACACGCAATCGTTTCAAAATACATGCTGTTTGAGTCACTGAGGCTGACGCTTTACATGGTTTTCCATTCCAAGGACGAATGTAGAATGGGTCTCAAAATGGGGCCTCAAGCATAAATTACCGGTCATCATTAATGCTGAAGGTAGTGTGTGGGCTGTCCGCAACAACGTCGGCCAAGTGGAAATCCACGCCATGATGACAGATCATGGCGTTACTAGCACCATCTTTCCATTGCACCATGAGGAATTTACATCCACGTAAGCATACAACATTGAGGTTATCCCTTGCCTCATCATACAATCACCCAGCCATTAGTGAAATTAGAAGCCGCCGGTGAAGTTAATTGTCAACTTCACATCATCTACCCCTGCTACCATCACTACTTTAGATGTGCACGTCAATCCAGTGGGCTTTTGATGATAGTTTCAGGAAATCCTTTCGCTAAAAGTAAAAATACCTTAAATTGTCTTTTTCCTTCCAACTTCACTTGGCCACTTCCCCCTCCTCCACCTGCTCCTACACCTTCTAGTCGGAGAGTCAATCGTGACACACACACACACACAGAGACAGACATCAAGCTTTCAGTGGAAGAGTTAGTCATTGAATTCACCAACCAATAAGCATCGGAGTTGAAAGGAACCATTCCATGCAAAAGGTGTTCTTCTGAGAGCGAAAGGAAGCTAACATGAAATGAGGGCAATCAATGAACAACACCCTAGATAGCTGGTGATGAAATCATTTCTATGTGCACCCTGCATTGCTTGTCATTCACTTCGACTACTTGTCACCACGCCTTATGTGACTGGCAGAGCTGAGAGCTCAATGAGAAGTGCCATAATCGAGCAGGCAAAGCCAACTAAGCAAATGAGACACGGAGGCTTGAGGTGATAGAATGCATTACCATAACACAATTGCTGCACTTTTTTGCTAGGGAACGTCTGCCACGCCTAAATGGAGTGGAGCTCCACATGGAATGATGAAAGGTAGGCTTGAAGGACAGACGGGTCGCGTCTTGATTGGCTGAACAGAGCCATGCACCTGCAGTCCTTAAGTCAGCAGTGGTCTCATCCAAACGCCGACGCGTTTGGTTAGGAAGACGAAATAAGAACATTTATATAAGTCATCTCAATGTTTCCGCGAGAGTAAAGGCAATAGAGAGTGGAGAAGCGAAGGTACGATCGCATTCACGTTGGTGACTACGTGGGTTCAGGTGGAGCAACGCCATAGTCGACAATATTAAGAAGCAGCAATAGTTAAAGTAATATATATTAGCTAGAATAAGGAAGTTGACGGAGGCCCTCAAATGAAGTTTACTTTGCCTGTAAAAATGTGGAGTAGCTGCCTACGTACAAAGTAAATGCTTCAGTGTGCGGTAGCGGAACTGATTGCAAGGGTCAATTCTTGGTGAACATAATCCATGGAAACGTTGCATTGCCCTCAAGAAAGGGACAAACGACAAGATCATGGGTCTTGAGTATTCGGTATTTTTGAAGATAGGCAGTCAAATTCCGAGGTCCTTAGACTTCGACTCGACTCCATCTGATTCTGTTTAATCTCTTATGCTCCTCTGGAATAATTTAGGACCCACTTTTCTGACTACCTTTACGTAAACGCAGCAATAGAGAAGGAAATGATTGGAAATATCTTAGAAATATTGATTTTGGGATTTCATATTAGTGAGTAAAAACACGTGATTTTAAATATAACTTTCCGCTAAATATGTCTGACTGCTGCTTCAAGGCCAAGGTAAAATGAGAATTTGCGATTTCGGTAAAAGGTTATCAAAACACGAAAAATAGCAGTTTTTTTATTTAAAATTTATTAGCAGTTATTCTTCCATCGTGACAGGCACAATAGGGGTTTAAGTAGTGCACTGAAGCCGCTACCCATAAACGAGATTTCTTTAAAAGCATTCAATGCAAATGTGGATGACTGAGTCAGAGTTGCAAGCCAAGGTTCGCTCTATTCTCGTTTCCCACTCATCCTTATCATCAACACCATCCCCGACAGCAGTGGCTATCTCAGAACAATTTCCACTACCTGAGCGTGGATTTAATGAAATTTTTGTTAATGAGTATCATAGGGCCACTCTTGCGTTCATCACTCATTTCGTCTCATCACCAATGCTACCGACGGATTAAATCATGGCTTTTCAAACCTTCCATCCACTTCTATCGCTTGAGAGCCGATAACACGCCTAAGAGGCTTATCCAAAGCAAACAATGTCGCAGGAGATGCAGTTTATCCCTCTATATTAACACAAAATAATACAAAGCCAGATTGCAATAGTTTAAAGAGTAATTAAATTACATGCGGACATAAGTATAGAAACTAACATATTATTGGAAATAAATGCCAGAAACTGGGAGTAGGTGTCATATGGCTAAGTTCGTCCTGAGAAATGAGGCAGAAATAACTACTCATTTGGTCGAATTTAAAAAAAAATAATCCAAGGTTAGTTTCTAGCTTTCACAAGTCCTTTTGCATGTGCCATACAAGTCTAAAAATTTTGGGCATGTATTTGCTTGAATTTTTTTACTTATTCCTGCTATTTTTTTAATATTATTTTCGGTAGATGAGATAATGCGTATGCTCTACAGTGATAGTGTGCATATCAACGATTCGACGTTTAATTAGACAAGGCATTATATGCCAAAAGGCAAGACATTCATTGACTAATCGAAATTTACAAGAACAGCCATCGTTTTTATATCAAGCGGTCTATTATTTTAAATGTTTACTTCACACCATTTCAAAAGTCCTTTGAGCAGACTATTGATGAGGTAGTCACTGAGACCATGATCGCCATCTGGCATTGTAAACACGTAAGTAGCATGAACGCATCTAATGAAGTTATTCTAATCCCCAATGTCAATGTGTCAGTTTTAAAAAGTAAGCAGAACAACGTTGGTAATACTGCTCAGTGTACAGAAGTCAGTGTTGCTGAATGGCTTCAAACAAGCAACCAGCATTCCTGACAATTTTTAAAAACTACTATTCTGCAACCATCACAACGGCTGCTAACAATACGCGAAGAGGACGCAAAGTGGTTGGTTTCAATGACCTTGTGGCCCTTTAGAAAGAACGTTTGACCTTGCGGAAAAATGATCAGAAATGTGACCACTCATTTTATCAACATAATTCCAATGTGATAGAATTTTGGCCAAAAATGCTTCTTGTTTAAGTAGTCCAAAATTCATGAGCCTTTTCGGTAACAGAAGTGGGGGCATCTTTAAACATTCGCTTTCATTTGGTAGCATCGACGTGTTTTAACTACGACCAAATAAATTAAATTCGCAAAAGTCGTTTTTGAATGTGGGTAAAATTCTGCTAGCAAATTACTTTAAGCGCACTCTGCAATGGGCCTATACCACAATCATTTGTGATATTTTGAAGTGTGTCGTACAAAACATGGATTGGCAAGGTCATCTTTGCACTCCCTGCTACTCACTTTTATTTGAGTGGTATGCAATTAATTGGTTGGCTTTAAGTGGATTAATAAATTGACAGACCTTAAGGTACTGCCTACCTACCTATCTGCCTTCTCTTTACCCACCTATTTTCAAGCCTAAAATCCATTAATATCAATGGTCTGAACTAGCCAGAAATATGACTAGATGTTGACAAAAGAAGCAACAAATATGTCAATGAATTAGTGCGTCCCCTAAATACGAATGCAGTGCTAAATCGACCACCTGACGAATGGCCATGCTAATTGATACAAGTAAATAGTGCATAAAATCTGCACACTTGGTAAAAAGGCCAAATTTTAAAAGGCAGCTAGTTTTATGATATTTATGCTATAAATAGAGACGGTATAAATCTTTCTGGATTAATTTGCTTGGTAAAATAATCGTTAGTTATTTGCTCCATCTTTATCTACTGAAAGGTATGGTAGGTGCAAAGCAGTTTCACGATTTCACCAACTTTTCGTTTGGAAAGCTAATGAAACATTTGGCTTTATGCCTTCCGGTTTTTCTTTACACCTTCGTTGTCCTACTGCCCACTCTATCTCGTCCCCGACCAATAAATTGGAACTCTTTAAGACAAATGTTGATCACTAAGAGAAATAAAGATGAAGATTAGGAAGCACCTTTTTCTCTTACTTCCTTAGCAGGACCCATAGAATCCTAGGCGTCAAATCATGCACCAGCTTCAAAATCAGTCTAATCATGACACTACAACTACAGTCAAAATAACGTGGTTTCGTTAGTTTTGTCGTGGCTGTATTGACCGTGCTCACTCACACCCGCCTTCACAAACAATGATCAGTCACACTCGATATTCTCATATCTTAGTATAGGCGTGAAACTTTCACCTTAAACTACATTTCTCTCCTTCCATTTGTCTGTGCACAGCCTTGTCAGCACTTAAGTGGATAGCCCATGATGCTAATAAAAAGCGTTTTCCCAACCAGGCGATGTAGCAGTCAATTTCATCAGAAATATCAGCAGTGCGAAAAGAATTGAATTAGTTGGGAATTGAAGCTAAATTTGGACCCCACCAATCCACCTACCGTTACGGTTTCATAGACTGATCTATGATATTGCCTTGCGTCAAGTGGAGGTCTAGCAACCCGTCCAACTATTAATCAAACTTGTCGGGTTGCTAATTACGTAGCCTTCGCACCCCACCCCAGTTGCTCAAAGAATATCCGGAAATAAGCTGATTCCAAGAGAACTACAAGTGGGAAGTAGGCTAGATTATTGGTCCAAGTATTCGCTCTGAGTGGATGGATTACACTCAGCTTCCTTTTCTGATTCTCTATCATGATAAGTATATATTTAACCGTACACCTTAATGTAACATAGAGGAGGTAAAAACGCTGTGTGCAGCTTCAAATTTTTAGGCAATTGCGATTTCAAGACTGGTAATGAGTGCGCAAAAATTATTTTGCCTTGTGGAACATGCACGCATTATAGAGGTGCCATTGAAGACTCACAGGCATAGCCTCAGGTCTCTACTCGAAAATAAGCCAATATATGATCCGAAGAATGATTCTTTTGTGTAAAAAGCAGTCGGTTTGGTAGGCGGGTAAACGAAAAACAATAGCGAACTCTCAGGTTGCAAACATCTACTTCCTCTGTGCCGTCAAAGAGGGACACGTAGTGAATGCATAATGTTTTGCAAATGCAGTGTTTCCAACAAAGTGAGGAAGAAGATCAGCAATTGATGGTTCTTGGAAGGCAATGTCACTTTGCCGATCACGATGCTTTACACCGTTGAGGAGGGGAGACCGGACTCATCCTTTGCGAACTGAGAAATGAGGAAATTGGAACTTGCATCAACTATCAGTGAATGCCTTTTGCCACCTGCTGATCTCTTCTATCACGGTACCAACTTGATTAGCAATACTAGCCCAAAAAATCTCAAGGCATATTTCTGCAACTGACCTAAACAAGGCCCACACCGAAGTGATTGTTTACTGTGATCTAGCCACGCATAATTAAGGGTCTTATCCAGCAGTTAATCTAACGAAAATGGGTATGTCGTGTTCAGTGTAGCTTTGGACGTACGCCTAACGGGAGTGGATGCAAGTACTTTAATGTTACGTTGGCTTCTAAAAAGTAAAGTGAATGAGCAGGAAAGTCGACGCGAGTACAGTACAGTGCAAACATAAAAAAATACTTGTAAGATTGACAAAAGAAAGTGGAAATTTACTTACACAATTTAAGGATGCCACATTTTGCCAATTTTCACCGATTCATGACATCAGTATCATCCAACCTGTTCTTTTGGTCGGCACACCTGCGTGAGGTCGTCGCGGTCGAGGAAGATACAATTTTAGAGTCAGCAATGAATATAGATGTAAACGTCGAGACAGCTATGGAGGTGGAGCTCATTGAATCCCAATCGACGCCAGCTGTTTCAGTCGAAATGGGTTAAGCGGCGTTAGCTTGGAATAAAAAAGAACGTGAGGGAGAATGAAGCTATAATTAAGCAGTACAAATTCCATAGCCAGCAGTGAAATTCCGGGTTGCAAGGAATTCAGTGAATAAAATCTGTACCAGGTAGCCAATTCACAACCATCAAAGAGCAAAGTAAGCACAGTGCACACACGAGCAATTTCCAGTTTCCAATGACCTATTCTGCACATAGCTTAGTTGT